ACTACACAAAGTATTAAATAAACTTGCTCTTTACTTAGGAGATGCTGAAACAGCATTTTCTGCTAAGCAGCTGGTCAGCTACCATCTTCTGGCTGTACTCACTGGCTATTTATCTAGTGTTTGAAACATCTGAGGCGATGGGGCAGGAAGTGACTTTTTGAGGGCGGCCCCAGAAACAAATAGCCTCTGCTATTAGCTAGCTGGCCCCACCGTTCTTCGTTAAAATCTCGGGGCCGCTAGGAGGAACCGTGCCCCTCTCCCGCCTGTGTGGGTAGTAGCGGAGGCCGGTGGGGTGGGTGACGCAGAGCCTGCAGGAGGAGGTGCTCTGTCCTCCAAGCGGATGGACTGCTGATCAGAAGCGTACAGCTAGACAGCCTCTTGGCTTTCTGTGAGCCGCTGGGGTTTTGGGAATAGAAGGTAGCAGCTCTCACCTTTTTTGGCTTATCTGATGGGGCCCTTCGTTCCTTTCATTCCTTTCCCAGACATGCCAGATTATCCGGTGACGTCCTCCTCATTTGGCCACATCTTGGCTTTCCCAGCCTCTCCTTGAATATCCTCTGGCAGATATAGTTGATGCTTTTGCCTCCAGCCTGCCTTATACCAGTAATTAGGGGGTTTAATTAATTTTATCAGGGTTTCTGCCAGGATGGATATGAAGTAGAACAAATGTATGACACCCCAGGCTCCGGGTTTGATCCTAAGATTAGCTGGTCGGCCGGCCGGGGCGGAGCTGCGGAGCCATATGTATTCCTGCTGGAGCCCAGAGACGGGCATGGCGTGACGTCTGCACGAGCAGCATGGAGGGCTGCTGCTGCTGCTGCTGCTAGGCAGAGCCCAGGCATGACTGAATTTATTTAGGCACTGCTTATTTATTCCCGAAATATCCATATCAGTGCCACGCGGATATTCACGATAACACCATCTGACGCTTAGCTTAGCTATTACAGAGAATATCTCTATGTGTACTTGACACTGTCGGCAGTTCTCTCAGTAGACTGGATTTTCTGGGCCGGTCTTAGAGAAAATTGCAGGAGTATTTACTAGCCTGTGAAACTGCAATGGCTGGAGGGGCTCTTCAGGCACTTCTGTTGATATTGAGTAAGGAGGAGACTCGTCTGTAATGAAGTGGGTTTATTGGAATGTGATTCATAATTTCTTTAAGTTCTTAAGTTAAGGTTCCTGGAAATGGTCCTCGGTTCAGACTCCGTGCTTGTGATCAAAAGGTCACTGGTTGAAATCCTGTGACAGCAGAGTGATGTCACCACTGGGCCCCTGAGCAAGAGCCTTAACCTGCAATTGCACCAGTGGCTGTCTGACCCTTTTTTACTCAGTTGTATGTCTCTGGATAAAAGTGTCTGTCAAATAAATAAATATAATGGTAATAGAAATGCACCACTGCCCTTCCTAAGAGCAGTTATTATCGTTTTATTTTATTATTGTGTTTGATTGGCAATGTTTATTATTATTATTGCTATTTTTATATTGTGTGAGAAGCAGCTTCAGGTGTGTCTTATGTATGCAAAATTGTCATAGTTCTGTGTGTGTGTGTGTGTGTGTGTGTGTGTGTGTGTGTGTATTTAGCTCACAGCCTCGGCGACCTTCAGCCTGATTCTGTCATTCATGCATGTGTGCATGAAGGGGTGAGCGCGTGGGAGCCCTGGTTTGTCCCCAAAGGAGGTGCACGGCTGGCTGAGAGCGTGCTATCACACGGGGTTTGGGGTGTTACACGTGCAGGCAGCGCTAACCTTGCTGTTTGCTGAAGGGCCTGGTTGCACCATCTCTTGGCCGCAGGGTGGGGGCTTTCTGCAGGAGCAGCTGAGCAATGCGTCATGGGTATCAGGTGGAGAGGGGTTTAGCAGCCCTTTCCCCCACCCCCGTCACACCCCCTCCCATTGTCTTTGCGTCTGCCACTCATTTCCTCCGCCGTGAGTGCACCTGTCCATTCGATTGCCTTCCCGCTACACAAGACGTTGGGGGAGGGGGGTGTTTGGTCCTACCGGAACCCAATCCATCTTAAAGATCGGTGCGAATGACAATGGTGAGTGTTCACCAGAGTCGCATGACATGGTCTGGATGAGCAGAATCACAGTACGCATTCAAAGGTCTGGACAAGCTGGGTCACATGACAACGGAATCAGAATCGCATAACATGCATTCAAAGGTACAGATGAGCAGAGTCACATGACATGCATCCAGATGTTTGGACGAGCAGAGTCACATGACATGCATCCAGATGTTTGGACGAGCAGAGTCACATGGCACATGCTTAAAATCCGAATGAGCGGCGGTTTGGCAGCGGCCCAGTACTGTCCTCGGAAGGAGCAGGTTCCAAAGTGCAGGGCCTGCTATCTGCTCCACCTTTCCTGACGCTGCAGCTGGAGGAGCACTCACTGGTGCTGGGGGAGCACGTCTGTCTCTGGCTTAATCTCCGGGTGGTCCTAGTAATCCCACCCCCACTCCCCAAGCTTGTCTCCCCAGTGCTGAAGAGTACCTTTACCTTCACATTTGTGGTGTTCTCTTGCTGGGGCTTTTCCCAGGTTCTATCTACAATTTTCAGCACATTGCAAATGTAATCTTCTTGAACAGCAGACCCTTGGAGGTTCCATGCTCTATCTAACTGAAGCTGTTTGGGGGCTGCTGGTCACCTCACTGTGGTATAACTCCATGGTGCAGTGTGCCTGTGTCTGTAACATTGTGCTGTTCTTGGGGAGAATCATTCTTATTGGCTGCTGGACCATCTGTCTTCTCATCTTAGCATTTGCTGCCCCGGAGCTGTCCCTTGGTGCCGGTGAGATACACACGACTCTCATGTCTTTGATGCATTGGGAATGAATATGGTCCCCCCCCCCCACCCCCCCATGGATTCTAGCCCTGGGACTCACCTGTACATTGAACTGTTCTTGGTATGATTCTCTACCCATCATGTGTTTATCTCCACTCTATGATAGCTGTTACTGATTCTTCCTTGCTATCCAAAAACAGACAAAGCTTTCTGTTGACGTGTGTCCGGTGGATTAAGGTTTTCAGTGCCGTTTGCCATGAACGTGACAGACTTCAGGTATGCTTTTCCCCTGTGCAGACCAGGTGGTCATTAGTTACACTTTGATAGCCGTTAGATGTGCTCGTGACAGACGGTAGCTGAGTTTTTCCATTCGATGGTTGAAAGTTGACTTCTTGTGACCATGTGCCAGAGTTGAAGTGTTGAACCTGTGTGGTGGTGTTTTAACTGGCTCGCGTTACCTGCCCGTTAGGCCCAGCCCCCTGTGGGGTGTGCAGCGTACTATATGTAATCCTGTGTTTTCGTAGTGTCCTGGAGCGTGACGAGCGCTCTCGCATGTGGGCAGGACCACTCTGACGGCCCATCAAACCAGTGGGAATTTTACTGTGCCCCCACCCCTCCATCCAAAACCCACAGTCTGGTGATTTTTTTTTCCGCTGTTGGTTTTTCCAATCCAGATGACTCACTGGGATTGTTAACTGCCCTGTGAGGCCATTCGGATCGCAAAAGCTGCGGGGGAGCCACTGGTTTAGCGCTGAGGTGCAGGTTTTGGGGCATCACCACCCCCACCCCCCCCCTATCTTGGAGATTCCCTTAATGTGTCCGGTGCTGACGTACCTGTCAGCCCCAGCAAAATCACCCAGAGTGTGGCTCGCTGGGTGCCGTCATCACATCGAGGCTGTGTTTGGCAACTGTCTTTCCGCTGAACCCCCCCTCCAATTTTAATAGGAAAATACCCAATAACTTAAAGAAATGTGATGTGGCACATTTTGATACTGAAAGGGGTTTAAACTGAGCTTAACTTTACATATTCTGTGCCTACAAAAATTCAGAATTCTCTGCGGAAAAGACAGTAGCATCACGCTATAATCGGGTCCGTCCATGCCCACGCGCTCTCTGACCTGGGTCCCATTGTCACCCTGTCCTCCCCTCCTGTGCGAAGTTCATGCCAGGGCACCTCTCCCCGCGTGTCAATATTTGAACGGGCCAGGCCGTTTGCCGCAAGGCTGCCATGTGGCAGGCTTCTCCTCCCTGCTACGGCCAGAGGGCCAACTGAAACTTACAAGGTGTTCGTCTCGGACTGATGACTAATTGAACTGGGGGGACTTGCGTATATTATTCACGCTGGGAAACCGAAGCGTTGCATCCGGGGGGGCAGATGCTTGGAGGTGAGCCCCGAAGAGCCCACTGAGGGCGGAGGCTTGGAGGTCACCAGCGTGGCCTTATTATACACAGGCTGTGCTCAGAAGGGCCCTAATTCCCAATCGCTGGCCACTCCACATCTTCATCACGTTCTATGTTCTCTACTGGCCCACGCGGCCTGTAAGTGAAGGTAGCGCTATTCTCCGTCAGTCAGTTACTCTGAAATACGGACGTGATCCTTCTCTGCACACTTTAACGGAACGTGAACCAGCCTCATTCCTGATTTTCTTTTAAGGGGGGGACCCTTTATTTATGGAAGGGTGTAAGAGTTGTCTAATGGACCCTGTCTCAGGTGGGGTTCTATTTAAGGCTAGGAGATGGGGTCTAGAAAATTCTTGGCCTTTTTAGCAGACTGGGATGGGGGGGCAGCATGATAGAGAGCTGATCACTCCCTAACCCTAACCCTCCCTCAGTGAGTGCAGTAAGCTTCCCGCCATGTCCTACTGAGCTTATGGTTGGCTGCAGCTGGGCTGCGATCCTTCAGTGTCGGCGATGCACCTGGAAGCTATGGCAAGGAACACGCCGCAAATATTTACCTCCCCCCGCCTGGCATGCGGAGCACACCTGCCGGTCAGATGTTCCCATCAGGGGTGCCAGCAAGGAGTGTCTGGCCTGAGCTCTCTCTCTGCCCCCGCCTGCCCCGCCCTTCCCCCCACCCTCTTCATTGTACCCCTGTCACAGTGTGATCCGAGGTCACCCCGATTCTCGTCTGTTTCAAGCTTCTTCTCCTGCTTCAGGTGTTTGTGTGTTCCCATTGTGTCACCAAGTCGAATTTTAAAATTGACCTGCCTGTCCACAGTGCTCGGAGACCCCTAGGCTCCCGGAGAACCCGGGGCCGCTTCCGGGCACAAGAGGGCGCACCAGGAGCACGGGCCAGGCCTTGGAAATCCCCAGAGAGCGCCACCCGCAGCCTGAGACTGCCGTGTCTGACGCGCTGACCAGCACTCTGGAGCACATCGTGGGCCAGCTGACTGTTCTCACCCAGGTGAGCAGCATCCGCCCTGCCTCATGAACTTATCTCACATTTATGATGTTTAGCTGACACTTTTATCCAATGTATGTTTTAGAGAAAGCAGGGTCAGATGGTCCCTGGAGCAATTGGGGGTTAAGGGCCTTGCTCTGGGACTCAGTGGTGACATCATTTTGCTGGCCCTAGGATTTGAATCAGTAACCTTCTGATCAGAGCCAAAGAGTCTTAAGCCACAGAGCCGCATTGCACCCTGTGCATTGAATTAAATGTTACTATGAATGACAGAAACATGCAAAGCCAGTTGTTAATGTCTAAGGAAGCAGAATCAAATCTGAAAGAAACTGCTGTACCTCTGAGATGTTTCACAACTTTTTAAAGGTTGTAGTTTATTTCCCAAGTCTCTCTCGTTCTGAATAACATTGTTGAAATGTCTGTCTGTTCCTTTATAAAAGATGATCTGATCCAGTCTGTCCTCCCTATTACAATCTATGCACTACAGTTGGGAGAGTTTATGCCTTAGGTGTGACCACAGGAAGTTCTCTCCATGAGAAGGACACGTTAAACACGCTGGAATCGTTTAGAAGGTCACCAAGGTAATCGCATGGATGGAGCTGCCTTCAGCAGAGGATGTCTCTGATTGCTAAATGCATTGTCTCCCAGTTGCTTATGGGGGTTATGAAATGCGAATTGCATTTTAATGCTTGTGCTTATTCATGTTCAGTTCAGCCCAAGCTGTGAAAAGGTTGATATTTTTGTGCTAAGCTGTTACCATGTTCATGAGAACACAGATCCTCAGATTTGTTAAATTTATGCTTACAGAGATACGCCGTTTGTATAGTTTATTCAGCAATTCAGAGTCCTTTGGGCCAGAACACAGCTGCAAATGGAAACTCTGATTCAGTCTCTTGCAGTTGCTGCTTCACATCAGATTCATGCATCTTCTTTGGTTTTTAAGTGATTTTGACATTTTTTGACTTATGGGCTGTTCCCAAGAGCTCATGGGTATGTGTTTGGCTCAAGAAGACCATTTCGGGTTTCTTCCAGGGCCACCAATGCAAAGCTTTGTCCTTCACTTTAATTCAGGCACAATCTCTCTCTCTTGTGGGGTTTTACATGGTATTTTCTGTAGTTGCTTTTCTGTGATTGTAATGGTACCAGTTAGCACACTGTAGTCTGGTGCCTTCCTCTTGTAGATAAAATGTCACTCAGCATGCAGTTTTTTGTTTTGTTTTATATTCTACACAGGAGCAGAAATAGCTTTAATGTATGTAGAGCTAGCTATCTGCAGGTCGAATATGACTGAAAGATGTTCGAAACTTGAACATATGAACGCAAAGTAGAATGACTACTTCAAACCTACTTTACATTTGACTGGCATATATAGCAAGTTCATCTCCGCTTGCTTGTGTGGGTTTTGAAGGCACTTGCTGCCTTGTTTTGGTAACTGTATTTCCTACAGGCCTCAAGCTTAAAAATGTATTGGATCGATATGCATCGATCAGCCCCTCTCTTAGGGTAGGAGACTCCAGAATTGCAACAAATGTCTCATATTAGTACTCTGAAAGTATTTCAATTGAGCATTTGATTTCAGATTTATGTTCAGATTTGTATATTTGTACATTACTAAGTGTAGTCTCTCAATATTCTTTAATATATTTGAATATAATATAATTCATACAATTATTATATTAATATTGTACTACAGTATAATATATTTTAATGTAATTTATTTTAATATGTTATGGTACCTCAGTTTTTTTTTTTATTTCAATAAAATACCAGAGATTCTTAGACTTGCACACATTATTTGGTGTGAGCTATAAAGTAACTTTTTACACAGCCACCTTCCTAGGTCTGGAGTTTACAGAGAATGGTGTGAGGAATAAAAAATATCCAGTCAGTGGCATTTCTGTGAGAACATCTTGTTAACGAGAGAGGTCAGGGGAAGATGGCCGGACCCGTTAGAGCTAACGGTGCAAGCAAACTAAGAAGCTGGGCACAGCTATTGAACACATGCAGAGAATCGAACCCAGTACCCTAGAGATGTGAGGCCACAGCGCAGCCCTGTCCATCTGTCTGGATAAATCATGTGCCATTATCAAGATGTGAAAGCATGTTTTCTCCCTCTCAGGAGGAATATCGTCTGTCCTTAAGTGAGTTTAGTATAATGGCTGGAAAATCAGTACATGCCAGTACAAAAATCACTATACTAATGTCTGAGAGAGAGTATATTTAGAGGAATCTCTATACTATTTCATTATAAGATGCCTGAAGAAGAGAGAAGACGGGGAACTCTGAAAGAACAGTGTCTGTGTTTATCAGGAGTCTACATCGATTTGATGAATCCCTGTTTCAGCACTTGAACATTATAACATAATTTTTGGTCAGTTGAAACATTTTCTAAGAAAAGGCATAAGATTCACCAGCAGGGATTATTTAGTGTAAAAAGCTGCCCAAGTCATCTTTTCCTTATGTGCTTTTCCTTTTTTTATGTAGACATCAAGTTCACGGTTGGAGACATTTTCCACGTGTCACACAGGTGATGACTGGGCCACGCCTCTTCTTTTCAGCTGGGGGAGAGCCTGGGAATAACTCACTGTCACTCAGGAATGGCGTAAGGAAACGCCAAGCTCTGCATGAGGACACAGAGTGCCGGGGGGGGGGAGGGGAGGGGAGCGGCAGGGAGCAGCTGGGCTGCTGCTGTGTTCCAGCCAGTCACCAATAGCCTGTCCTTAGCTTTTTGGCTAATCCTTTAGATCATTTAAGAATAAGACATAGCGCTAAAGTGTATGGTGCAGTGTGTTGGCCAGTGGGTTGGGACGCCGTGCCTGTGATCAGAAAGTCGCCAGTTCAGATCCCTGGGTCAGCAGAGTGATGTCACCATTGAGTGAGCCCCTTCACCCCAGTTGCTCCAGGGACTGACACTGTGTTCTTCAAAAAATGTCCAGCTTTGGATAAAAGTCTGTTAAATTTTCAAGAAAACATACAATGACTATCAGGCATCACATTGGAGGACATCGTACATATTTTAACGCATGAAAAGATGGCTGTGAAAGCTTTTAAAAATATTAAATATATTTTTAATGGTTTTAACTTAATTGGTTTCAAGGACAGGACTTGCAAGTTAATCACAAAATAGTTAATCATTACTTAATCCATCGGTGGCTTTAATGTTCTCGCCGTTTCTCGCCCGTGTCCCGTGTTGGCAAAGCCGGCTTAGTGTTGATTTGCTTGCCATGCAAGTAAGATGTGCTTTAAGTGATGAGCAAATCGGACAGCCTGGTGCAGAGAGACATCCACCACCTTCAGTGGTGGTGAGCTGTTGCCAATCCCTTGACATCCTTCTGTGCTAAGAGTTTCATCTTGCTGTGAACTCCAGCTGGTGGTCAGTAGAGGGAGAGATGTGAGCATTTGGAGAACATAGCTCACGCAGCATTGCTCTGGAGATACTGGAGGGGTTTAGTTTGGAAAGTCAGCCTTGAGGGAGCCCATGCAGAGGTGAGCGTCGTGCAGACCCATCAGCTGGATCGACAGCTTGGTCAGCCGAAGGTGTGAATGGTGAATTCATAGACATCACCAATGTCTAATTAGAGAAGGTGAGATGTAGAAGGTCATCGTTATTCTGCAGATTTCTACTTTGACATTTATCTGTGTGACTGCATATTGTGCTAAATCGGTGCTTGTGTCCTCAGTCATCGCCGGAAGGTCAGTATCAACAATCCAAATGATGACCCCCCCCCCCAGCTCCTCAGGGCTAGAAAATGCTGTAATTGCAGCCAATGGGATCCGCGGCAAGGACACAGCACCCCCTGTGGGCCTGCTGCGTCAGTGCCCCTGCTAGGGTGTGAAAGAGAGAAGGATCTAGATCAGAGCTATAACCGGAGTGCCATGTTTGTTTGTATATCATCCGAAAAGAGGCCAGCCTCAACTCCGAGCACGATGCTGCTTAAAATAGCCCCGACGGCGGGGGGAGAGCACACCTGACCCCCCATCACTGTAAATATATGACGCTTTTAGGGGGTTAAGGGAAGAGACCACGCAGTCGGGTCCTCTGCAGACGTGTAGCTGAGCTCATAACATTGGAAAACAGCATGTGGAGCTGCTCTCGCTGTCTGCTACCTGAAATATGAATGTTCGAGGCTCCAGGTTTCAGCTGAATTATTAATAGATTAGGCTTTTGGTTTAATTACCATCTCCATCCTTTCATTAATTAATTCCGATAGGTGCTGGAGTCATCTGGGTTTCCAGCTGTTGCCTGTTTTTTCCGACAGGGAATGCCATTTCATATTGAAATCCGGAGATCGTATTTCCAGGTGGTCCCCCATGTTCGGAGTGCAGGGCTGGGCAGTCAAGCCTGAGGAATGCCACTCGTAGGAAAAAGCATTCATTAGTGGTTCACCGATATGGAAATTTTGGCCGATAAAGATAATGGATATAATTTTGCGTAATATTACCAATGCCGATTAACCTTAAGATCTCGTTATTGTTTGTAGCAATATCATTGCGTAATCCATGCAGTGAGACGACAGACATAGTACTGACTTGGGAGACTGTACTTAGTGTAGTTGTGAAGGAGCTGACAAAATCCCTTGTCTTCCACTGTGGAAAATCGTCCAATGCAGCCATCTTCGTTATTTTAGTAGTTGCGTCTTGTGCTGATGACTTTGAATGTTGGTAAAGTTTAAATATTGCCCAAGATTGAAACATCGGACTGATGCTGGTATGTTGATTTTTGATTAATATTGGCCGATACTGATATGTTAACTGATGTCATGCATCTGTAAGGTTAAACTTTCTTTTTACTTAGCTGTAAGCTACCTCAGAGTCTTGCTACTATAGCTAGCAAAAAGTTTCCCAAAAGCATCATAGAACAAGGATCATCATTGAAGCGCAAATCAGTTAGCTTCTTTTAGCGAACCTTCCGCTGCCATTCTATGTTTTGGAAATTTGCATGCTGGGGCTGGGAAGAATATAGAGTATAAGAGTATAAGTGGGATTTTGCTCCCATAAATTGTGCATAGCTGATTCTGATGTTAGACTGGTTTATGTGAATCCCCACCTTAATAATCGATTTATCGCATTGCATTGATGCAACTTTACACCTCTAGACTAAAGTTTGAATATGTCCAAGATTGACCTATGCCGATGTCGTCTTGATTTTTAATTAATGTCGGCCGACATCGATATATATAAACCGATATATTGTACATCTCTCTTGTGAATTAGCTCGATGTGTTCGTACACTGCACAGAGAGCCCCGGAGAGAGTGTGTGTATCATACCAGCATCTGGATTACTGTTGGCTTCTTCAGATTACCTCTTACTTGCGACAGATGGGTGGGTCAGGAAGATGGGAGGGGTGGGGGGGTACTTCAGCTTCTTGTTTCAGCATCTTGGCGCCACTGAATCTCCTGGACGTCCGGGTGCAGGAACTGCGGCATAAACTGCCAGCATGCCCCTTCGCCGGGTTCGGGTCCCTCCAGCACCACGCGGCAGCTGATCGCAGCTGCAGAAAGCCTGAGCCGCATGGCCGCGTCACCTACTTGCCAGAAGGGGGCCTGTGGATCGTAGATGGACGTCAGCTTTTAGCTGCCCGTAAAGTTGCCTGTTTGTATGTCTGTGTGTATAGCCCAGTTCTCAGAGGGTTTCTCAGGGGCAGGAGGTAAGAAGCACTTTGAAGTAAGATGCATCACTTAGTTACTAATCGCTCCCTCGTCTCCTCTCTTAATATTTAATGTATGCGGTGCTTTGGAGAGGCCTTCTTTGTGGCGTGGTGAGGCTGAAACAACACCTCCTTAAATATTACCAGCTAAATCATCTCTCAGGTCCCCGTCAGCCCGAGAGTCTGTGGTTAATAGCTCCCCCAGGTTGTGGATGACAGCATCATTTTCCTTCACAATGAGGAAATTAGTCATAAGGTGGCGCTGTGCAGCGTGGGGCCTCAGTGGGACCCATTTGGAAAAACCAACATTAATGTGGCTCGCGTTCCCGTCCGGACCACACAGAGCCGCACCGAGGCCTGGCATCCGCTCTCCGGGCAGGACTGGCGGCATTTCAAGGGGTTAAAGATGGCGGGCTGCCCCTCCTCCCCCCGTTCAGGCCTGGCTTGCGCCATCCCATGCGGCAACATGCTGGGAAGGGGCCTCCGTGTGTTTTCTGCACTGGAGCTGGACGCCGCTACGGGCAGAGCAGATGGTTTCCATTACGGAGGAAGTCCCACTGTCCCAGGACACCTCCAGAGGCATGTGCTGGAGAGCTCTGACCTTGGGGGGCGGGGGGGAGGTCTGATGGAGTTTTTCCAGACACGCGGGACTGTTTTAGTGTTACTCCAGGCCCCCCTGCTCCCAGTAGGAGGGGCATGTCGACGTTCCCCATTGGCAGATGGCCCCGTTGACCTTCTGGCATTCCCGCCATATCTCTAATGGCGAAAAAAGAGGGTCTCGTGCACAAGCCAAAGCGCCAGTGCATAAACCAGCCATTAGGGGTAAAGCTTTTAACAAGGCCTTTTTTAAGCACTGGAGTAAAGTTTTCTATTTCTTTTTCTTGCCTTTAAAAGAACTGAAAAAGCCATCGTTGAATTTACCGTTCAGGCTCATGGCGCCCCAGCTACCTTTCAGC